ATCTGACCCCAAAACTGCTGTATAGTCACATTTGGGGAAGACAAAAAAGTCAAGGCCCCGGTTTAAGGCTGAGGAAAGAAAAGGGGGAGAATCAAAAAAAAACGATCCCAAAAGGTAAAGTGAGGAGCTAAAACGAGATTTTAAGGGGAAAAAAATTTAAAGTCAAAACGGAAGGCTCTGGGGGGGCAGACCCAGATGGGGAAAAAAAAAGGAATTTCACCAAAAAGTGTTGGACACCCTACATACAAAATAGGAGGGGTGAAAAAAAACTGTAAGGGACATCGATACCTCCCCAAAGGGAATGGGGGCCGGACCCAAAATCTCTCCCCTGGGTTTCCCTTAAGGGGAGGGACAGAAAATGTTTTTGGGGTACCACTTTTCCACAATCTTCAACACAAACCCTGGGAAAAGGGAACTACCTGGGGGTATGGAAGACGGGAAAAAGTAGTTTTTCCCCTTTTTAAAAAAAGGGGACAGAAAAGAGGCACTTTAAAAAATTGAAACCCGGTCATTGCCCCGGGAAAAGTATCAAAAATTTTGGAGAGATTATCCAAGGAGAGTGGTGGAGCACCCGGGGGAAAGGAACAGGGGTGTAAAAAGCCAACCAGCACGGATTCACGGGAAAAGGGAAATCCCCGTGTCACAAACCTTTGGAGTTTTAAAGATTAAAAAATTAACCGAAGTAAGACCAAAAAAAGGGGGAGGGTGGGTTTATTCATCTTCTTGGACTGCAAGAAAGGCCCCTTTTACAAGTTTTCCCCCAAGAGATTAGTGCAGAAGCTGAGCTCAGGGGCAAAATAAAAGGAAGGGCACTGCAATGGATAAAAGAATACCTGACCCGGGAGGCAACAACGAGTATGGTACCCTATGATGTATCACAGTGGGCCCCCCGTGACGAGGCCCGGGGGCCCACAGGGGTGGTCCCAGGGCCGTGCTATTTTTGGGAATGTGAACGACATGACGGAAGGGGTTTGACTCAAGAAGTGTCCCTGTTTTCAGATTTATGTTTAAGTTAAAGAGGTGGGGAAAAAAAATCTGATGGGGGACCAGGCAGGGGCTTCAAAGAGACCTGGAAGACTGGGCAAACCCGGTTCCCCGCAAAAAGGCTTCTCCCAAATTTAAAACCTGCCAAAAAGCCAAAATCAAACAAGATGGGGAAGGGGGAAAAAGAAGCCACAGACAAGTATAAAGGGTAGGTGGCCCCAAAAGGGCTGCAAACCTCACTCAAAGGGGAAAAAATCTTTGGGGGGGGAGTATAACACCGACATTTTTCCCCCAAACCACATCAATCAGATAAACCCGCCCGCAGCATATGGGCCCTGGCAAACCCGAGAAAGCATTTCCCCTACCGTTTTGTAAGGAATCATTCAAGCAAATGTACAAACCCGGGATGTAGGCCCAACTGGAGTATGAGCACCTTGGGTTTTAAAACCCCCACTTGGGTAAAGACGTCAAGAAACTAGGAAAAATACAAAGGGGTTTTCGACCAAAGGGTTTGTTCCAGATAAGGGGAATGTCCTATGAGGAAAGATTAAGGGAAAACGGCCTGGGCCCCCAATGGAAGGGACAGGGGGGGTTTTTGGGGGGACATTTAATAAAGACCCTTTTAAAAATAAATGCGTGGAAATAGACAAGGTGGACAAAGACCCGGGTTTTTCCCGGGAGGGGGGGCAGAAACAAGAGGCCCCAATTGGAAGTTGAAAAACAAAATTTAGTCAAGGGGATAGTGGAAGTAAATTTTTTCAGTCAAGAGTTTAAGGCAGTGGAAAAGGCCCAGAAAAAAACGTTTGGAGGCAGGGAAACCTTTCACAGTTTTAAGAAAGGGTTTTATAAAAGCTCCTGGAGCGGGGAAGAGAGGGGCCCAGTAGCAACCCGGGGAAGAAAGGGGGGGCCAGGAAGCTAGGGCCCCGACCCCTGCAACCACAAAAGGTGGAGTAAAAACACACATATTAAGAAGAATAACAGGTTGTAATTAAAAAATTTGAAAATTAAATGAGGCTGCAAAGATAACAAAAAGTTCCCTTTTTCCCTTTGAGTTTCTAAAGTTTTCCCCAAAAACACTAAACCTTTTCATAGTAATATATTATAATTACTATATATAATATATTTTATATAAAATAAAGTAATATATATATATATTATATAAAAATATATATATATATATAATAATATATATATATATATATATATGTCGGCCCAATAGGCCCAAAATTGCCCTCTTGGCTTAAATAGCAACGTCATCTTGCCATATAGGGGAAAATGAAAAAATTTTGTAGCAATTAAATTTTGGGCCCAAAAAACATTCTGGGAAACCCAACGAAAAAAAAAAAATTTAAATGTTTTTTTGTTTAGTAATTTAAAATTTTTGTAAAAAAATCTAAAACATATTTTGTTTTTGGGTTGGCTAAAAAAATTGTTCTTGTTTTAATAAGGTTAGGTTTAAATTTTTTAAGTTCTTTTTTTTTGGTGCAAAATTATAAAATTTTTTCATCAACATTAATTTAAAAAAAAAAAGTTCTTTTAAAACCCTAAAAAGAGAAAATTTTAGAAAAGGGCTTAATTTTTAAAATGGAATTTTTTTCTAATTGACCAGTTTTCATTTTTCGGCACGGGCATAATATATAATATTTATATATATATATATATTTTATATTATATATATATTATATATATATATATATAAAATATATAATCTGGGAAATTTAAAAAACCCGGAAAATTTTGGGAAAAAAATTTTTCAGTGTGGTTTTTTGGGGAAAAATTAGCGTTTTTTAAAGGGTATTGTTTAAAAGCTCTAATCAGAAAGGTTAAAAAAAAATGGGAAAAACCTTTTAACGTGTAAAAAAATAATTTTGACAGCTGGGCGGGTTTCTAAGATATATATTTAAGCCATTAATGTAGCAAAGGTTTATTATAAATCAGTAATCATGTGAGTAAAACTGTATCAGGGAATTTATGTAATGAACAGGGTACGTAAAAGAGAGAGAGAGAGAGAGAGAGAGAGAGAAGAGAAGAGAGAGAGAGAGAGAGAGAGAGAGAGAGGAGGAGAGAGAGAGAGAGAGAGAGAACATGCAACAACGAACGCACTTGTTTATTTTGGTGTCGGGTTTGAGTTTTGGGTGAATGGTGTCGCAGTGATTACAAAAATAGGAAATTTTTATATGCAAACACCTCTAGGCGTAAACACACTCCTTCCATAAACTTACTCTGATTACAAACACTCTGAGTCCAAGTACTATGTGTACAAACACGTTGTATGCAGGTAACTTATTGTTTGCAAACACTCAGAGCATAAACACCTCTTAGGTGCACACACATAGTGAGGACAAACACACAAAGTACAAACACGCGGTATGTGCAATCTCTATGCATATATAACAAAGCGGGCATAAACACATTTCGAGCATAAACATCGTGTACAAACACACGTTGTGTACAAACACTGTGTACAAACACACTGTCCACAAACACACTGTGTACAAACAATCTGTGTACAGACACACTGTAAAAACACACTGTGTACAAACACTGTGTACAAACACTGTGTACAAACAACTGTGTACAAACACACTGTAAAAACACTGTACAAACATACTGTGCACAAACATTGTGTACAAACACACTGTGTACAAACACACTGTACAAACACTGTGTACAAACACACTGTACAGACACACTGTGTACAAACATTTATCACAAAACTCTAGGAACAAACACATCCATGATACTTGTGTGTGTGTGTATGTGTGTGTGTGTACGTTTATGCGTGTATGTGTGTGTGTGTACTCACCTTCTTGTAATTGCAGGAGTCGAGTTATAGCTCCTGGCCCCGCCCCTTCACTGATCGCTACTAGGTCCTCTCTCTCCCTGCTCCATGAGCTTTATCAAACCTCGTCTTAAAATTATGTATGGTTCCTGCCTCCATTACGTCATTTGCCAGACTATTCCACTTCCTGACAACTCTATGACTAACAAAATACTTCCTAACATCTCTTTGACTCATCTGAGTCTTCATCTTCCAACTGTGACCTCTTGTTTCTGTGTCCCATCTCTGAAACATCCTGTCTCTGTCCACCTTGTTAATTCCTCGCAGTATTTTGTATGTCGTTATAATGTCTCCCCTAACCCTCCTGTCCTCCACTGTCGTCAGCGGAGGGCAGAAGGGTTAGGGAAGACGTTTCCCTTAGCTCTGGAACTAGTCTTGTTGCAAACCTTTGCACTTTCTCTAATTTCCTGACATGAGTGACTAGGTGTGGGCTCCAAACTGGTGTTGCATACTCTAGTATGGGTCTGACGTACACGGTGTACAGAGTCTTGAACGATTCCTTCCTGAGACATCGGAACGCTATTGACCACCTAGCCTATACTCTGTCTGCTGTTTTCGTTTGCCCTTCCCCAATCTTCATGATTTTGCATTTAGCGGGGTTAAATTCGAGGAGCCAGTTGCTGGACCATGCTTCCAGCCTGTCCAGGTCTCTTTGCAGTCCTGCCTGATCCTCGCCCGATTCAATTCGTGTGTGTGTGTGTGTGTGTTCATAATATTACCCTTCCTTCCTTCCCTCCTAGAAGCTACCGGAAATATTGAACCTAGAATGGAATACTTAATAATAGCCTCATCAACCTACTGAAGTCTCCAGGCTCAGGCTGACACATTTCATTATCTAATGTATAAAAGACTCATCATGTGTGATGGAATATGACTGGGGAAACCTAGCCTATGTGATGGAATATGACAAAGAAACCTATCGTGTGTGATGGGTATGACATGGCACTGTGTGATGGAATATGACAGAGTGGAATATGACAGGAGAACCCAACTTATGATAGGATATAATGGGGAAACCCATCGTGTGGACGAATAAGAGAAAATACAATTAGTTTTTGTACCCACAACGTAACTGTAGTATATAGTAAGGTAGCAGTACACCGCTGATGTACTCAATTTTGTTTTTCTGAAAAAACTGCCCATTCTTGAAAGCCCTTTTGCTTACTATACGCTGATGGTCAAGCCACATATAATATCTCCACTTCCTTTCCCCTGGTCTTCAGGTCCCAAGGACGTCATAATGTACTACCTGATGTCCTTAGGGGTATCAGACCTGGTGGCGGGGGTGGTGGTCGTCCCCCTGAGCGTATATCCGGCCCTCGTTCAGCGCTGGGTCTATGGCGACGCCGTCTGTGGTCTAGCCGGCTACCTGGAGACCACGGTCTGGTTTGCCCAACTCTGTACCTTCATGTGGATCAGCGTGGACCGGTACCTTGCTATACGGAAACCACTAAGGTCAGTCTGTAACCCTCCTCACCACCACCTCCTCCTTCCTCGTAAGTACGAGTCTAGACTATATTCACTCAGAAATGTAACATTTTAGTAGAATGGGAAATCGTTGAATAGTCTTGGGTCTCAGTGGACTCGTGGCACAACTGCTTTTCATTGGAAATATAATGCATCGTCTATCAAGCCTTCTGTTTTCATAGGGAGTAATTTCTGTGTGCATATTTAGGAACAGCTACAAACTGGGTATAAATCTCACTATTTCTCCATATTTTCGTAACAAATTTCGAGAAATTGCAGCTAGTATAAAAGTCAAGATTTGTTTACAACAAATCTTCATTTACACACATTTCACTCTAGAGCTCTACGGATTAAGTCTGTCTATTAAAATAACATATTGTTATTTTCTTATAATCACGGGAAAGCGCTGAACCCGTTGGGGTCATACACTGTATGAGGGGAAATGCCCTTGACAAATTTACTCACCGTCAAAAATTGGATGATGAGGTGTGTATGAAATATTAACTTAATGACTATAAATACTCATATTCGTAGGAAAAAAATCTGTATCATAATTGTTACAACTATACGATAATGTGGTGAGATTCCTAGACTTCAATACGTGTTTTTAAAAACACATTTTGAGCAAGCCAAAAATACTACTGGACAGTTGATCTCCAGCTATACATAAAAACAATCTCTTCGTCGTATTCTCCATTAAGTTGGGGACACCTATAACTTTCTTCCACCGCCTTGGAATGTTGCCTTCTTGATAGTACATGCTGAAGATTTTCAACTACAGTTCTTCTCACCCTCATTATCAACACATAATATACGATTCTTCATATTTCATTCTACGTGAGCATATGTACGTAAAAATTACCCTATGTATCACTATAAATCACAGCCTTGAAGAAGCGTAATCCCAGTAGACGCTTATTTTCCATATCTTTACACCCATAAGTTAACTAAACATTAAGTTCAATTAAACTGTCTTCAGCATTGTAACTTTCGTAACATCAGTTCGGCATTTTAGCATCACACGGTTCAATAAATATTTTCTGTAACCTGACTGGCCTCAATACATTCTCAAGATATGTTGATGACGTGTTACAACTTACTGTGGCTTCTCTGGTTTATATGGTATATGAAGAAGAGTTTTAGTGAAGTGTGTCATGTTGGTGTTGGGAAGCCCTTCAGAGTAGTGTTACTAGTATCAACTAGTCACCTGCTGGAGACTCCGCACAGCTACCATCACCTCCGACTCGTATAACTGACGTATTAGACACTTTTTCATATATATATATATATATATATATATATATAATATATATATATATATATATATATACCTTCTATATATAATATATATTTATATATGTATAATATATATATATTATAATATATATATATATATATATATATATATTTATATATTTAATATATATTTATGCCAATAAGATCACAGTATAAAAAACAGGTGATTTCAGAAAATATGCAAACAAACCACTCTGAAAGTAATTAGAGAAATTCCAAGCGCTTTCGTGACTACTCAAATTTATCAAAGGAACTATGAAATAAAGCATCCAAGGGAAGCTATATAAAAGGGTTGGACAGCACCCTCACTATCCAAGATCCCACAAACGGTTTAATCACCTGACGCGCGCCGACTAACTTGTATAGGACCTTTGCACAACTCACCCACAAACTATTCTACCCAGAAAATTAAAAATTATTTTTTCCAGTGTTTATTAAATTCTTCCCAAATTTATTTAATTATAAATGGATTAATTTATGTTAAAACCAAAAGGAATTATTCATATTATTGTCCAAAAACTGCTTTTTATGAAACAAGATTCAATTTATTACTGTCGGACCATGGACTTGCTTGATATACTTTCTCAACTCTTTTTGAAAAATCAATTGGATGGTTAAAAAATCTTCTTACATGATATAATAGGAAGCATTGAATCTTGTCATTGTTCTAATGCATATTTATGTTGTTTTAATCCTTAGTTCGAGATTTTTTACCAGTTTTGACCGTAAAATTAAACTTTATCGACAATTTTTCAAGGAATTCTTATAGAACATCTCAGCATTTTGGGGGGAAATTCTTTATCAAAAGTTTTTTTTACTGTATCACGATTTTTGAATTTACAACTTTAATAATAAAAGGTTCTTAAAAAAGAGAAGGCATATCAACCAAGTTTTCATGGTAAGGGAGAACCAACCGAGGGAGCCCTTGACTGGCAAAACGTTTTCACAATAAAGATACCCTAGTGTTGTACAAGTGTCTAATTCATCATCCTGTCGGTTCTCTGAACTATTTATCTACATATATAATTATTCCCACGCAAATGTATTTGCGTTTTGTTATGGCATGACCCATTGATTTAGTTACTGGGCCGTAATTTTCACTGCTCTCTAGCAATTAGTGTTAGGTTGTTGTTCTTGTAGATATATTTTCTTATTTCGCAAAACTGTACGAAAAGTAGAATGTGCCTAGAATTTTAGCATCTTCAGGTTCAGGTATAATGACTTGTAGAGTTACGAGTAAATGGGAATAAGTGCTAATAATTTAAATGTAAAAATGTGACACGTTCTATAAAATCTGCACTAAGACCTAATTCCCAAAACAGAATAATCTGTGTATATACACTTTTCTGTGATAGTATACCTAAATACCTCACAGTGTATATACTCAGTGGAACTAGATTTCGTGAATTAACCTTTGATATTTTCGCAGGTACGAGACGGTGCAGACTAAAACCAGATGTCAGTGCTGGGTAGTGTTTACTTGGATAACATCCATGATGCTGTGCTGCCCGCCCCTGCTAGGCTTTAATAGTTCCTCTCACTGGGACGCTGAAGCTTATGTGTGCTGGCTAGATTGGGGCAGCATGATAGCCTACGCCTTCACCCTCATTCCCATGGTGCTGGGACCCACGCTCATCACGCTCTTCTACACCTATGGCTACATCTTCAACACCATGCGCAGGCTCAAAACTTGTGTGGTGGGGCAGGATAAGGAGTTCATCACGGCGCTTACCTCCAACCTGGCCAATCCAGACCACGCCATGTCTTTCGTGCTGGTGCTTGCTTTCTGGCTATCGTGGGGCCCGTGTGTTGGAGTGAGGACCTATGAATACCTCACCGGCCATCATATTGATGTGAGGTTCCTCCATTTCGCAGTGTTTTGGCTAGGGGCTCTTAACTCTTGCTGGAAATCTATTATTTACATTGCCATGAGCCCGAAGTTCCGGCGTGGTCTAAAGCTGTTCTGCCTCTCGTTGTGCTGTCAGCGGAAGGCTCGGAATGCAGAACTCATCTTGGATTACTAGAACAACCCAGGACTTCCGTGTATAACTTCTTCCATGTGTTCCCATAACTTTAGCGAGTAATGAAGCTTTTCTAGCGTGTCAAGTTGTCTTAGTGAGGAGCTTTAGAAGACAAATCGCGGGTGAATGCATTTAATGCTCAATCCATTAACTCGAGCACTGGTGGACTGCTACTGGAATAATGATCAGTGCTAGCTTTATCAAAAAATAAATATGATTTTTTGTACTTGACAATCTTAGGATGAATGTTAGCGTGTTTAGGCTCCGCTGGTCCCTGGGCCAGCGGGATTACACATTGTTGTCTATCGTACTGTTCGTTCTTGTTGGGATGTTTGCGTGTGATAGACAGACTTTAGGGTTTCATAAACATATCAGTGTCTAAGAACTAGCCGCGTCCAGGAACTACATTTATGTGCGAATGTCTATATTTTTTAGATTTATGGATGCCTTTTTTTTAAGACGCATTTGTTCTTTATTAATGATATACAAGTGTACACTCTTGTGAATGTTTTATGATTTAGACTGAAGGCATATATGTATGCCAGTGGAGAAGCACAGTTTTTTTGTGAGTTGATATGCCAGCTTGTGAGTAGTTATGTTCCATCATTAACACTCGCTGTAACTTATTATTGTGAAGGTATCTAAGAGTTTGTTTCCATTGCTTTGATAAATTATGTTATGATATCCTTGTCGTTGGTATACTTCCTCTGGTATAACCAAAGCAGTGGGAAGTTCACAGCAGTGGCCCAGTCTTTATGTTTTAGTGTTTGGACAGGCTATACATAACGTAAATATGATTTACGATTATCCCGCCCCTCATGGTAAACACGTATCAAACTTGCTAGGAAACACACACACACACACACACACACACACACACACACACACACTCACACACACATACAACACCCAAACACCACCACACACACCACACACAAACACACACACAACACACACACACACACACACACAGAAGCAGGCGGCCAGAGCTTGGACTCGACCCTGCAACATCAACAATAGTACACACACAAACACATCAACACATGCACACACACACTGCACACACACACATCACACACACACATGCACACAACACATCACACAACACATCACACCTCCACACACAGCAAACTACCACACATACAACACCACCATACACACATACACACACGCACACGCACGCACACGCGCGCGCGCGCACACACACACATACACACACACACACAAGCGGGGTTCCACAGGGGTCAGTCCTAGGACCTGTGCTGTTCTTGGTATATGTGAATGACATAACGGAAGGGATAGACTCAGAAGTGTCCTTGTTTGCGGACGATGTGAAGTTAATGAGAAGAATCAAATCGGATGAGGATCAGGCAGGACTACAAAGAGACCTGGACAGGCTACAAGCCTGGTCCAGCAACTGGCTCCTTGAGTTTAACCCCGCCAAATGCAAAGTCATGAAGATTGGGGAAGGATAAAGAAGACCGCAGACACAATATAGTTTAGATGGCCAAAGTCTGCAAACCTCACTCAAGGAAAAAGATCTGGGGGTGAGTATAACACCGAGCATATCTCCTGAGGCGCACATCAATCAGATAACTGCTGCAGCATACGGGAGCCTGGCAAACCTACGGATAGCTTTCCTATTCCTCAGTAAGGAGTCGTTCAAGACTCTGTATACCATTTACGTCAGGCCCATACTGGAGTATGCAGCACCAGTTTGGAATCCACACCTAGTCAAGCACGTCAAGAAATTAGAGAAAGTGCAAAGGTTTGCAACAAGACTAGTCCCAGAGCTACGGGGATTGTCCTACGAAGAAATGTTGAGGGAAATCGGCCTGACGACACTGGAGGCCAGGAGGGTCATGGGAGACATGATAACGACATATAAAATACTGCGCGGAATAGACGAGGTGGACAGAGACGGGATGTTCCAGAGATGGGACACAGACACAAGAGGTCACAATTGGAAGTTGAAGATTCAGATGAATCAGAGGGATGTTAGGAAGTATTTCTTCAGTCATAGAGTAGTCAAGCCGTGGAATAGCCTAGAAAGTGAAGTAGTGGAGGCGGGAACCATACATAGTTTTAAGGCGAGGTATGATAAAGCTCATGGAGCAGGGAGAGAGAGGACCTAGTAGCAATCAGTGAAGAGGCGGGGCCAGGAGCTATGAATCGACCCCTGCAACCACAAACAGGTGAGTACACACACACACACACACACACACACGCGCGCGCGCGCATATACAACAGGCTGTGTCTAATCGACATGTGCCTAGGACAAAATGGTAACTAACTAACTAACTAACACACCATATATTTAACTGAATTCATCAAAACAGGTCTTTTCAACCAGGTTCAGTTGCCAAAAAAAAAAAAAAAAACCGGGAAAAATAGTAAGAATTTGGCGTCTTGTGTGAAAATAAATAAACTGAAAGACATTTAAAAACTTAAAGAATGAACATAAAATAGCACTTTTTTTAGCTAAATGTGGTGAAATAGAGCCTACGTAATCAAGTTTTATGCATCAAAGGTTTTCTTTTAAAGAGTTTCATAATAGGTCACTTGTGTGGATATTGTTTAATTGCAACCATCCGAAACTGACACCCTGTGGATGGTAGTCTTACGGAATTTGCATCCTGAGTATTGTATTTAAGAATTGCACGAACTAATTCCAACGAGAAACTTATGGTGGGCAGTACAAAGCCAAAGAACCTGGTCTCAAAACCAATATTATTATCATTTTCATGGGGAAGCGTTAGACCTGTAAGGGTCTGGGAAACGGGAGGCGATCAGCTTTGATCCAGGGAAAGGGAGGATAGCTTCAAATCTATGGATCAGAAGCTCTTCACTGACATCCAGAGTCACGCAGCCTAATAAGCTGAAAGAGGCTATTGAATAATAATAATTCTGGATCTTTGTTAGTGGTGATTTTTCTACTGATTATTTTCACGTTATTGTGATACTATGGAGATTATCAGCCATATTATTTCATATAATTATCATTGTCAGTGTATACAGTAATACCTGATGTGTTCAGACTCAAGGTAAAATGCCTAGGTTGTACAAAACTTGTATAGAATATTGAGTATTCATACACACATTTTTGCATTATATCAATGACATACAAAACCGATAGGTAGATGAATAAGATACATGTGCAGCATCAGTGGCGGGCAGAGGTCTGGTGATGCCCGGGGCCAACTACTTGATTGTATGCCCCAAAGATTCAAGTATAAGGCCTAGTACTGAGAAATATGAGAAAGGGAGATATTTTGAATATGTAAACACAGATGAAACATGAAATAAACACTTTATTCGATTTAAATATAAATCTTTTACCCAAATGATACCTCCTGTCAGAAAACACTTGAACTGCTTCACTTTTTACATCAGCTGTGAGAAATTCTTTTTCAATGCTTATTAAAAGCCAGGTTGGCTAGTCGCTCCTGTGACATTGAAGACCTCAGATATGTTTTTATTAATTTCAGTTTTGAAAATAACCTTTCATAACTTGCGACTGAAAATGCAATTGTAAGCAGTAATGTGTATGAAACACAGTGTGGGAAAGACATCCCTCCCATACTGCAGTAAAGACTCCACAGCATCTTTACCATCACGGGGAATTCTGTTCCCTCCACCTCGAATGAGCATCACAAAATCAATAATTTCGTCATATAACTGAATGGATGCCACATCATCACAATTTGCAAAGTATGAGCATTCCTTTTTTTAATTTCTGTCCTTGTTCATCTTCAATTGGGGGGCACCATTTTCTCTGGACAGAAAGGGTACACCATATTAAAGGAATGAAGGGTTAACCACTGCCTCTGTAGTGAAATGAGCCGCCAAAAATTAATTTATCGCCTCTGAAACTTCAAAATCGCTATCTT